AAAACATTGCTACTGATAAAGGCAAACAGAAAAAATGAGCCAGATCACTCTGCCACGTAGCTTAGGCAAGCCAGATGATGTGGTAAAATGGCAGGCTGAGCCAGACACTAACAATTTCCTCACCTGAGGAGACAAAAAAACATGCACAGGGTCCTCAGGCTGCTCTGAAGATAAACAAATAGTAGTTACTGAAAACCTACAAGTATCTAAGGATGCAGCAGGTTGTTAGAAGACATCCTTTCTCTCTGGAGTTTTTTACTGCAAAGAATCAGGAGTCTAACACTCATATCAGGAAATAACAAATGTTTACTGTAACAGGGTAGAGAGAGAACACATTCAGCCCATGCTAAATACCCACATTCAAGGCAGAGTCACAGCAGCCAGCCTCTGCTGACAAACAAGTCATGCAATGGCCCAGTTTGTTCTATCTAACCTTCTTTCTTAATATTTACCTTAAATTTGATAGCAGTTATGTAAGCTATACACTAACTTAAGACGTCCCATACACATTTAAAGGGGCTTGGTATTAAGAGTACAAATAACCTTGTCACTAGTTTGGTTCTATATGGGCTGTAATTTTTTTTGCACTGGAACAGTTTGCAACCATAGGACTGGAGCTGGAAACATACCTCATTTCTGTATTTTTTAAAACCAATCTTTTTTCTTTTCAAAAAACAAAAGTTAACATCTTGTTGCTGATTTCAGAAGACGCGGAATGAGAATATCAGGATACATGAGAAATGTTGTTGTGAAAGTCTTGACCGCTTCATTTTGAATAGCAGACTAAAAACATTGAAAATTGTTCTGAGTTTCAAAGCTGAAAGTAAAACAGTAAATTGATTAATGAAATATTATCCTTTCTTCTTTCAGTTAACATCCACGATGTGGGATTGAGGAAGAAAACCGTGATGTTTCAAATTTACTGGGTTTTGTTAAAATTAATAATTCAGAGAATAACTAATATTTTATTCAGGAGATAGGAGCTAACATTTCCTATTTAAACAGGATAGTCTCCAAGAAAGTTTTCCCACACACCAGCCTCTGTATACCATAACCATGGAAAGTAGCTGTGCATAGATATCAAGAAGCTTCAAATCAGGTCATCAAATCCTGCAAGACAAATTTTAAAAGATATAAAAATATAAAAATTAGGCTGTTTGTGACTCCCACACATACTATGCTATACTGACTTAAGTTTTTAAATTGTCAAACAGGATTAAGAAGCGTAAAAAAGCACTTTTTTTTTTTTTTTTTTTTTTTAGCAATTCTGTAGCATCGTTGCTGCTTTCACGTTGTTCCTGCGACATCACCCTCTCCAAACCTCGCAGGTTAATTTCTCCACTCAGGTCTGTCTCCTGTAAACACTCAGTGTTAGAATTTCTACAAGCAGAGTTTAAGAAAGCACTTGAAAAGGTGTAACAGTTTTCAAGGCATGACACTGAACAAGTCCATCTGTTGTTCTGATTTAGTATCTTTTATCTGCATGAAGGGAAAAAAAGAAGAAAAAAAAGATTTCTCAAAGATATATTCCATCGGTTTAATCTACAAAGGGCACACAGAGTATTTTTTCCTTTTCCCTTTTTCCCCCCACCTCTCTTCTCGACTATCCATGCCCAGCTGCAAGTGCCAAGGCTCCCAAGATAGCAAAATGACAGGTGTTGGAATGACGGCAGCCGGAGGGGCAGCCGCCACGCACAACCTTCCTGCAGCTCCTGCAGCACGCCAGGAATTTCCCCAGCAGCCCCTTTCCCACGCAAAGCACCAACTCTCAAACCAGCTCTCGGTTCAAGGCAGGAGCAGAGCGCAGCACCAGAGCTCGTTCCGAGAGCAGTTCCTCCACCAGACTCCCGAGGGGCAAGGTACAGGATCCTGTTGGATCCGCACTCTCCGGCCAGACACACGGCTTTAGTCCCCTCCTTCAGCCGTGCACAGCTCTTTAACAACCTTCTGCCAAACTTGAGCCTGCCCTTAAATCACAGGAAGTTTTGGCATCAGCTGCCACAAGTGCAAAATTCGACCTGGTAAAAAGTACTTTGAGGTAAAGCTTTTATAAAAAAAAAAAAAAAAAACCACAGATAATATGACCATAAACTGAGACCTCTGAGCTTTTGTCATTTTGAGAATGTCACTGCACTTATCTCCATTCCTACCTCACAGATAGGGAAGAAAAAATAGAAGCAATTACACACAAATCAAAAGCAGGCCATTCTCAAGTCACAATTGATGTGAGTCCCAAACTGCTTTATCTGCTTAACTCTGTACACAGAAATCATACATACAACTTCTTTAAAAAAAAAAAAAAAAAAGAAACAGAAAGCAAACCACACATTAACCTCTGACCCACTCCCAACTAATGTGTGTGACCACACATTAACCTCCCATTGCTACTAGACCAAAATCAGAGTACAGAACATCTAACCTGAAGATATTTAAATACAAAAGTTAGAATAGCCTCTGCTTTTCAAGCAGTCATTAATCACCATTTTTTTCTTATGTATAATGTTCTCCCAGAATTTACTTTTTGAAAGAAATGAGTAGGTTCCTATCATGGTTCTTCTCATCTAAGCTAGATTTCTCATTTCATCTTTGAGAATAATATCACCTTTTAATATCAACTTAAAGGCACAACAAACAAACAAAAAAAAAAAAACCCAAAAAAAAAACCCAAAAAAACCCCAAAAGGCCATCACGAACTGAAGCCCTTCATTTCTTTCCATGCACCTTCCAGGCCCTAGTCTCAGCTGAGCACTTCCAATGTCCCCAGGAAGGGCAGCACACGGCTGCACTAGTCTCTGTTGCTGCACTGCAGGATTACACAACTGAAATAGGGCACACGCTAAGCGGACAGCACCTATGCTACCCATTGCACAGCTCTTAAGTGTAACAGAGAGCTTGAGGAACAGTTTTGGCTACAAGTGAGCTTAGAACAAGATGGACACAAATGCTTAGTTCTTAAACATGTGGAAAATCAGGAAATGGCACTTAGAGTTGTCCATAAATGTGGCCATACCTTCATTTTTCCTTCGTCCTTTACAGGAAGTGTTTAATAAAGACTACTGGAGATGTTTGACATGGCAATTAAAGAGGTTAATATCGGAGACTAGAAGGATGAAAATTTATCAAATTTCCACAGCCAGCCAAACACCAAACCGAGTTGGGATACAGCAGTCCTTGCAAAAATACATGCAAAGGCAGCTAGCACCACTGGAGACTGCAGGAGACAAACCCAAATCACTTTCAACAGATTAACACACACATTCAGTACAGCTTTTCTGAAAAGTGACACTGCACTAATATTACGAGCTAGGAGAAAAAAACCCAAAGAGCAGCAACTTCGACTTGAAAACAATTCAGAACAAAATAAACCTCTGAAAATGAGTTTTACTAATTGATATAGATCTGATCCCATTTAGTCATTTTAAAACTTCAAGAAATGATCATTTGTTCTGAGGCATAAAAGCATAGCACCACATTTCTTGAGGAGTTCATGCTTTGATTTAAAATGCTTTGCTCCATAATGGTCAATTCATTAAAGTTTGTAATTCCCAAATATAAAATAAAATTTTAAAAAAAGTGCAAAGAAATGTAGAGGTTCAGGGTTGGTAACGAATGCACATTAACCTCATTAATGAGCTGCTTGTGTGGCTATATGATACTTACCACATGAACAGAGAGCAGCCTGCCAGACCAGTGCTACCCTCCTCCCTGCTCTTCCTTCCTAATCAGCTAATGACCAAGGCCAATTTCTACATTTTTTAATCCTTTATAAATGGAATTTGCTCATAGATGTATTAAGTGCAAAATATTTCTACCTACATTAGATGAATTCACTAATGCCTTTTCACTTTTAATAGTAGCTTCCAGTGCCTACAAACTCATTCTAGTAATTCCTAGAGGATGCAAATTACCTGAAAGGAACTGAAGTGCACAGTGAAACACTGTGCTATCCAAGTTCACTTAACTGCAGCACTGCCTAACATCCAACAGCCAAATCCAAATAGTGAACATCCCCATTGATTTGTTAAGCTAGAGAAAGCCATGGGCAGTGGTTTGAAGGGTAACTTTTTGTTTGTTTGTTTGTTTTTAAACCTCAGAACACACACAGATTTTCCCTGTTACTTTAACTCCCCTAAAACAAGATAAGGACCTTACTTACAGTACCTGAAATTCTCCTTCTTCTAGAGAGCAAGGCTCCTCTTGAGCATGCACTGGCCCGTGCAATTGCTTTGTAGAACAGGGACCTGTAGTAGTTTCAAGTCAGACAATTTTTCACATGGAAGTGCAGGATCTCAGTAATTTTCTAGCCCCCCAAAGCTGCCAGGCTCTGCGAGTGCTACACACAACAGAATTCTACCTGCACAGAGCCAGCGTAGAGCACAGGACAGGGTCACACAAGAACTCCTCCTCATCCTACTGTATGCACTGACTTCCAGGCGACTATCTTGGTCTGTTAAATCTTATGCTGAAGTCCTGCTACTGCTCCGCTAAATGTGGGTGATGCCAACTCTTCCCTGGACCTTCATGGCATGAGGACTGTGTCCTGAAGCCCTCCACAGAACTGAAACAAGAGCTTTAGTAAAACAAATCATGGAAACTCACTTTCTACTACACCTAATTCTACTTAACTTTTAGCTTTTCTATTATTCTTAAGCTATTATAACCCACAGACACTCTTAAAGAAAAAAACAAAGAAAACTTGAGAACAAGAAAAAAAAAGTGAAAGCAGATAAAACAGTATCTAGTTTATTACATATAGAAAGAAATTTCCAGAATTTACAAACACCCACATTGTCATTCCAAGGAGAGAGTCAATTTGAAAAGTTCACTTTCTTTTGTTTTCATTTTGCTTTGTGGTTTTCTGTTGGTTGTTTTATTTTTATTTTTTTTTTTTTTACAATATATACAATGGAAGACTTTGATTTGAATTTTTTTTTTCTGATTTTTTGTCAGTTGCTGTGCAATTGATGAATTCAAGTTGACATTTGTAAATACCATGTACAGTAAAATTTGTCTTCATTGTCGTTAATACAGACTATTATTTTACAAGGAGTACAAAATTATTTTTCTTTTGGAAAGAACTTAACATCAGGGTTATCTTACAACTGATAGCATCAGTAAATATGACTGTACAATCAAGGCCCAGGGACCAATGACTCATATTATATTATTTTCTGAATTACAATCTTAAAACAAGAATAGTACCCTACTCTATTCTTAGAAGCCTTGTTTTAAGCAGTTTCCCACTCTGTTTACAACAGAATATAGTATACCTCAGTTCCACATCAAAAAAAGATGTGCTGTAGGAAAAGTTACATTTTAATTAAAAAAGTACATGTATAAATCAAAACCTATGTTAAATATTTAATACTCTTCAACCAACATTACGTTTTGTATGCAATAATTTACAATGATGATTTGTCATACAGGTTTTCAGCAGCAAATGAAGTTGTGTAAATGTGCTAGTAAAATACCCATTCTCACCATGACACAGTGGTGGGCACATCAGTTCATTGTGGCCAGCTAAGTCCTTTATGGTAGAGGATGAAGTAAGAGAGACTCAGAGTCCAGGTGTCACAGTGCTTCTGCTTGGCACAACACGGGGTGTGCAGCTCAGTCAACTAACTCCTGAGGTTTGTGTAAAGTAAACAAACTGAACTGGATGCATCGTACCCATTTACAGAGGAAGAGGAGGAGGAGGAGGAGGAGGTGAGGTCCTAGTTGTGATAACATGAAACATTTAGAGTCTTGATACCCATGAGTTAAAAGAAGGATTTGCTGAGGTTGTATAGGTCATCGTTCTGAAATTAAAAGAGAAAGAAAATTAGCATCACAGGCACTTCAAGCACTTTAAAAGCCACTTGGTAATTAATACATTCATTCATTTTGTTATCAAAACTGAAAATGTTAGCACCTTGAAAAACTGCAGCAGGCACACTTGAACTTACTCAAGCATCTGAATCCCCAAAGCATTTGGAAACAGATGTTGGCAATAAAATTTGAAGCAGTCAGAAACATTTTTTTAAACTGCAAGAGATTCATCTAAGCAGAAACAATTTAAGTGACTATACTGATTAACTCTGACAAGTTCCTGTGACAAAAAGGGGGAAAAAAAAAAAAAAAAAAAAAAAAAAGTTCCGAGCAGGAGCCTCCTGTTGGCATTTTTATCCGCTACAAGAAAGAGCCATGAGGCACCAGGCGTCCCTGCAGAGCCGCTGTGAGGCGGTGTCATTTGAAGAGGATGAGTGCGGAACAGAGCATTAGGGGCGCAGCCTCCCCTTGCTCCACGGCTACCGGGGTGCAGAGAGCCCCAGGCCCAGCTCCCTGCTCAGGGCACCCATGGGTGCGTGCAGCCCAGCGCTGCCCCGCTCCCATCGCGCTGGCGCCCGGCCCTGGTGTCGCAGACTTCCCTGCGAGCCAGAGCCCGCACGGGAACGAACCCTGGCTCCGCTCAAGCCGCATCAGAGCGCTGCCAGCATCTCCAGTTCGGGACCTTCACATACAAACTCATGGAGTGAGACTTAGATTTTACATAAATGCAAGTCTATTTCTATATTAGATATTAGCTATGCTCCTAAAAAGATAGGTAAATAGCATATTTTGCTCAGTACAAATAAAGGCTTCACATAGAGGCACCGGAGGAAAAAAGCCTGAAAAGACCTCCTGTCCGATATCCTTTAATTGCCCAAGCAACAGAATTTACTTTGTGTGGTCCTTCAAGTGAAAGGCCAGCCTATCCTTGCAGATGATGTGCGGTATGCTGGGAAAGCTCCCCAGGGAATTCTCTCACACATCTCTCATTTACCTCCAACTTTCTTCCAAACTCCTATGGCAATCGGGTGGAATGTCCCCACCAGAGCATCCGCGTGCAGCTTTGCAGCTCGCAGCTTTGTGGCACCTCAGACTAGCCCGCGAGGCCGTACTTTGGGAAAGTACGTGGCCTGCACGGCTTGAATGGAGGGGCCAAGTGCACCTGTGGGTGCTGAAGGGCGGTTGTGGGTCTGGCGGGTGAGGAGTCGCGTGCAGGACCTGTCTGCCCCACCGGCATCCACAGCCCGATCCCCCACAAGCTCTTCCATGGGCCACCCCTCGCTGCGCTGCAAGTGCTTGGACAATTAAATAGTAATTGGCAATATCTAGAGCAAATACGTCACCTCCTTGCTGCTGCTCAGGGAATCTACATGCAAATAGAGAGTATTTTAAGCAAAGGGATTTGTTCCATGCAGGTCCTGCCCGGTCCAGTGCTGTCATGAACTCATTGCAAATGTTCCTGGTGCCCAATAGATATTCCTGGATTCAGAAGTCAGTAAGAATAAGGAAGAAAGAGCAACAAGACTACTTGAAAAAGAAACCAGTTTCTAGAGGAATTCACTAGGCAAACAGCCCCGAGGTAAGTCATGGTTACTGAAAGCCCAACACTCAGTTAGAAAATCTATTTATCATCCATCTACAAAAACATATTGGCACCTTTGTCAGTGAAATATCAGGTAGAAAAAGGAAATATCACAAGTTAAATTGGAAAATATCACCAGACCAGAAGTCAACCCCATATCAGTTGTTTTAAAGACAGTAGCAAAGTTTCAATACACAAGTCTTACAGATACATCCTTAAGGGTACTCTTAAAAGAGAGCAAAACAAAACTCTTACCAATACAATTTTAAAGAATTTGTATTATTCAGCTGAATGTAAAAAGTTGTGCACGAAAACCAAGAGCTTAGTCCCTGTTGAGTGAAGCACAGTACAGCATCCTTCAGAGGGGAAGTGCCTTATATGGGATTTTAAAGTCATCATCTGGATACCCCATTGTTTCTTATCAACAAGCATCAGCATTTCCTTAACAACATATAAAAACAGTGCAGCAGACAAGGGCTTTCATAGAGAGTGCGAGGCCTGCAGTGAGCTGAGGTAAGGATCATTAAAACGACTGACATCACTGTTGGCAAGCCGGGACATGGGAAAACCTGTGTTTAATCTATTTCCTATTCACCACAAGCTTCAGTTGGAGTCCCCAATAATACAGTCTGTGGTTGACTTTATGGAAAAAATTTGGTGATGCAAGAAAAATGTACTGAATCAAACAAGCAGCTTCAAAAGTCACTACAATGCACCTTTGACAAGGAGTCCCTGCTCAACATCTGCTACAAAATACAAGCAGATAACACTTGCACACGCTCCAGCTGGCAATACTTTCTTCTCAAGACTATTAGCTCAGGCTGGATAAAACACAACTAACTGAGGTTCCTATTATAGCTGAAGTCCCATTTTTAAATCCAGTAACTAAAAATAATTTGATACTTCATTTTTTTTTTTCCATTATTGGGGAGCTGGAAGAGGAGATAAGTGCTTAAAACTTGAGTTTTCCAACAGCAAAGTGTCTAGCTACTTGAAGATCCTTTTCCTCAAGATAGCTAAGCTTTCATATGGAAAAATAAGCCTTTTTAAAATATAGAGCATAAACCTTACTTTTTCATTTCAAAGCAATCTTTTTAAAAATAGAAGTCAGAAGAAAAAATATGTCAAAGAAATGAAAACTCAGGTGGTCTAGAAACAAAAGACTTTGCAGTGTCTTACAGCTGAAATACCAATAGAGAAGTCCCTGTAAATTGCCTTTAAAAACAAATAAGACATGGTATGGTTGCTGTCAAGTTCTGTGATTAATGCAGCAAATAAATACAGATACTTCATCATCACTTAAATACACTAGGGCAAAACAGCTCAAAACGGCCAGGGTGGCTTGGGGCATCGTCACACATCTTTCCAGCATTTGTTACATACGCAGAACCCACCAAACCAGCAGGCATCTTAGGTGGAAATTACTCTTTCCCACTGTGATCATGGTAGAAACAACAGACAAAAGAGCAGAGACAGTAGAGGAAACATAAAACCTGGAAATATTCTTCAAGCCCAATTTGCTGTGCTTGCATAAACATGGCTACAGGGGCAGGTGACCAAAAAGACCCGTCCTGTCTTTTTGACAAAAAAGCAGAGTAGACTTTTCCAGATGAGCAGAAAGGGAATCGCTTTCCACCTCTGCCCTCAGCCTTGCTAAATCAAACAGCTCCACAAAACCTTGTTGTCCCCCCAGCATCTCCCATGAAGCAGAGAGCAAAAGGAGCAGTAGAAGATGCTCTGACAAAGTTCCTGATTAAAAACAAGAGGCTTTAAAAATAAATGTACATTTGTTGCTTTAGGACAGTATCATGTATCTTGCTCTGTGCAGATCATACAGTGATTTATTTCATGATGAATGCATCTACCTAGGCGAAAATGCAAGAGGTGAGGAACAAAAGGCCAAAATAAAAGTCCCTACCAAAACATGCCAGAAGATTCATAGAGAACTTCCCCAATCTCAGGTAACATGATCTAGGCACCATTTGTCTAGGTGGATAACCAAGTATCTTCTGAAAACTAATACAAAGTAAACACATTTGGTGGCACTGAAAAGCTCGTTTACGTCACTCATCCTCCTGATATTTGCATGAATCATTTTCTAACTGTAACAAAACTGTGCACACCTTCTGAAAAGCTGAATTTACCCACGGCTTTTGTGCTTGCTGTCCTCAAGATCATAAGAATCCTCCCTGTTCACACTTTCCTGGGCATTGCCAGCATGCCCACAGATAGGATACACAAATATCCCATTCAGATAGATTGAAAATTAGCAACTAAACACCACTCAAAAGTTAAACTAGCTCAAATATCTTATTTTCAAGAAGATGAAAATGTAAGGTACAGTTTCCCCCATCTTAAATGTGCATTAAAGAGTGGAGGAATACAAGAAGAAACAAGAGTTGCTCTAGTGCATTAATTGTAGTCTGAGTCCTAACAAAAGGAATTCAAAATAGAACTAAACAAGGTAATTACAACATCGCTATTGAACCTGACAGGCTGTAATTTACATTTAATAAGCCTAGGGGATGAGCCTTGCTTCCCAGCACCCCCAAACATCGATTCCCTCTTTCTTGCCAATGTCAAAGCCAAGGAATTACTGCTCAGCTGCTTTCACCACGGACTCTGCTGCCAGGCCAAGCAAACGTGCTTGGTGTTTGCAGCGTCTCTCTGCTCCCCATATAAAGTTGTCATTCATTGCTGGAGGATCCTAATGTCCCAGAGGGGATGGCACAACGTTTTGCCATTAGTTTAGACAAAATTAACTCCCTTTTGGTACTGCACAGATAAAACGTCATCTTCCCCACAGACCTCTGCCAGAAAGAAAAGTGGGGGACTGAAGAGGGGACTTTTGAGTATGCTGATGAACAATAAAAGATTCTCACATTTAAGGAGCCACACCTCTCATTTCCTATATTTTAAGCATAATCAGAAGACACAAACTAACCATGCACTTACTCTGGATTAATTGGGGGAAAAAAAAGAGTGTTTTTAAAAGGAATTCTGCAAAGTCTCTTGCAGTGATAGAGCTAAGTATTAATGAAAAATAAGAGCCCACTCGTCACTCGAGTTACAGAAAAGCAAGTGACAGCTTGCACATTCTGGGTTTCTGAGGGAAATGGAAAACACTGAAGAGTTTCTCTGGTGAAACTTGTTACATTTTAAGCGGGATTGTTTTGTTTCTTTCTTCCAACTTCACATCCTTTCCTTGGATGATCCTTGGGATCCTTCCCCTTCCTTTGCTAATAATCCAGGCTGAGTGAGCACCTGGAGGTGGAGTCCTGCTTGCATCAAGAGAACTGCTTTTTGCATCAAGATTGAAAATAAAAACACTGGCTACAAATTCAGGGAATAGAGGATTTCATTGGATTCTGCAGCGCATGTTCACAGCAAATCCTCCCGTCGAACTCT